CCCAAGAACATGCATTTGTTAAAGTTATTTATTTTTGCTTGCACTGGGCCTTTGGTGCGTTCCTCAGACTTTCTGGAGCTGCAGCAAGTAGGGGCTGCTCTTCGTCCCAACGCGCTGGCTTCTCTGTTGGCAGAGCGCACGCTGCGGGTGCCTCGGCCTCAGTGCCTGCAGCGCACAGGCTCAGAAGTTGTGCGCCGGCTTCGTTGCTCTGTGCCATTTGAAATCTCCCTGGTGTAGGGATGAACCCATGTGCCTTGCATTGGCAAGCGGATTCTTATCCACTGTGCCATCAAGAAAGTTGTGAGAACATAGTTCTTGAAGAGTGTTGGTGGGTGATTAGAATTCGTCTCTAGTAATCCCATGCGGGGTGTGCAATGTGAAATATACTTAACTAGATTAGTCTCATTAGACTGATTTTCAGTACCTAATAGAAATGGTACTTCACTTGAAGAAAAAACAGGGAACATGAAGTTGAGGAGTCAGAAATTGCATAGTGGCTAAGAGCTGCACTTTGGCATCAAAACTGGGTTTGAATGATAGTTCTGCTACTTACTGGCTTTTGTGACTTTTGGTGTTACTTCTGTGCTTTGGTTTTCTCACTTGCAAGATGGGGATGTATATGTCTAGAAAGGAGGATCAACAGATTTTTTCTGTACAGGTCTTGGTAGTAAATGTAACCTGCTTTGTGGGCCACATGGGAACTCTGTCATACTGTGTTCTTTTCCTTTACAGTCCTTGAAAATGTAAAATTCCAGTCCTCAGCCCAGTCTGCAGCATTATTATAAAGTGCTCCTGTTATACCTGGGACATACATTACGTATTAATGAATAGCTTCACTAATTGAAATTCTCTTAATGTTATGTTAGTACAGGGGCCAGCAAACTACAGCCTGAGTCTAGATGGGGCCCACTGCCTGTTTATTTACAACTATGAGCTAAAACTTTTAAATGGATATGAAAAAGAATTAAAAAATTACATCATGTGAACATTATATGAAATTCTGGTGTCAAGTCTCAGTGGGACACAGCCGTGCTCCTTCATGGACACGTCCCTGTGGCTGCTGAAATGCTACAGTGGAGGACTTGGGTGGCTGTAATACGTACCATAGAGACAGGAGGCCAGATGGCCTGCAGAACCTTAGATACTTGGCATCTGGTGTCCCAGTGTGGAAAAAGTGGAGGAAACCAGCTTTTTAATGGGGGAAAAAGTAGTTAGATTTGTCAGGTGACTGATTTACAAGTTTTTGACTAGGATAAAGATCCTGAGTAGTCTATAATTTTGTGGAATGAGTGGAAGAAGACTAGGGATTATGAAGATTTTTCATTACTATGATGATTTGGTTTCACTTACTTTTTGGGACCTTGGAAAATTTAGATTCTAGTTTCTTAACAACTCTTCCTACTACCAATTGAAATTGTGGCATCTCAAACTTTGGTGAATCCTTCTACTTTCAAGGGGCTGCAGTTAACACCCCTGCCTTTGACTGGATTCTCATTCATGTTGGTAGAAATTGTGAGAAGCAAACAAGCAGAGAGCATCTGGAGAAAAACCATTATTCCTACATGAAAACTCACTATGGCGAAAACGAAGCTTTAGTTTTGGTCACTTTGGTTGCTTGTGGCCAATTACTGGATTGTTTGCACATTTCTGGACATAGCTTATAAAAGCAGCTTGTCATTTTAATAGCATTTCAAGCATTTGGTCCCAGCTCTGCTTCCAGTCTATTGTAAATGGATTCCTATGGCAATAACAGTGGTCCAACTGACATGACTGGTTCCTTAATAGGACTTAAGGAGGTTCAGATTTAGGATGGCCTGTCTTAGAACAGATCTGGAATGTCACAATTCCAACAGGAAGAATTAATGTGTATTTTATCTGAAAGTTGTATTTCCTGCCAGCCAATTAGGTTTTTTTTATTTGTTTTTTTGGTCTGTGCTGGATCTTCATTGCTGCCTGCAGGCTTTCTCTGGTTGTGGCAAGCGGAGGCTGCTCTTTATGGTGCCGCTAACTGGTGGCTTCTCTTGTTTGGGAGCACAAACTCTTGGGTGCTCAGGCCTCAGTAAGTTGTGGCATGTGAGCTCAGTAGTTGCGGCTGTCAGACTTCTAGAGCACCGGCTCAATAGTTGCAGTGCATGGGCTTAGTTGTCACACGGCATCTGGAATCTTCCTGGACCAGGGATTGAACCCACGTCTTCTACATTGGCAGGTGGATTCTTTATCACTGAGCCACCAGAGAAGCCCTCGATTGGATTTTTAACAAATTTTCCTTGTTAAGGGGTTGGTTGGGAGCTTAGACATTTAAATTGTAATTTCTTAACAACTTTTTGTACTGTCTGTTGAAATAGTGGCATCTTAAACTTTGGTGAGTCCTTATGCAGGGGTAGTTCTGTTAAAACAGTCCTTTCAGAGTAAATTTTTCCCATTATTTCAGATTATATCCCTTAGTTGGAATGCAGTACTTAAATCTAGTGATTCAGACATGGTCCATTGCATATTTGGAAGAAAATAGATAAAGTTTCAAATAACCATTAAACGTAAGCTTACAAAATAAAATAAACCTTTCATAAATTACTCCGAACTACAGGAATTGATTTGTAAGTCTAAGTACGGAATTACCCTGAATTGTTAGTGGGTTGGACATGAAGGGAAACTGGAGTACAGAGCTGAATCTAGTATCTCACAAATTTTTGTATTTTTTTTAACAGTTCTAGTTTATTAAATTCTTTCATGACAAGTCTGCACAGTCACCACAGATAGGTCACTGCAGAAGCTTTACTCCTCTCTGCCAGCACCAGCATTGGCCTCTGCAGTCTCCCTGACTTTTCTTCATTCTGTCCTAGCCTGCCGTTCGCTGTCTTCTTGAGATGTTTTTCTCCTCCTCCAGGCCATGTCTTGCAAGCCTGTGTTTGGGCTCATTCTTAATCCCATAATCCCAGGAATTGAAAATCATGCCAAAGCCATTTGTCTTGCCATCACCAAAATGGGTTCTGAATCCAAATACAAGGGTGACATCTGGTATGGTCTTGTACATTTTGGCTGGTGGTTTGTTTTTTTTTTTTTCCTGAATTTCTGTCTTGGGTACTATTCCCTACCCATGGTGAAGATCATCGATGACCATTTGTTTCTACTGAAATAATCAGTTGGTCATAAACTTTCTACTCAGGATAGTGACTGTGTCGTTCATCATCTTCAAGCAGTCAGGGAGGAGAAGAGCTAGTGTCTCACAGGATTTTGTTCTTAATCCTTACCTTTTAAAAAGGGTGGGTAGTAAGGCACATGCAACTCCATTCTGTGGGGTGGAGTCCTGGTACTCTTGCCGCTGCTCAGCCTTGCTCTGAAGGTAGGCAGCCGTCTGTTCTTGCTGTTAGCACTTCCCTGACTACTGTTCTGTCCAATGCCTAGAATATTGTATTTGTTAAAAAAAATCCTAACAGCTATTTCTGGAGGGGAGATTCATAAGGTGCTGGTGTTAGAACAAAGTAATCTGATGAGAAAACAGTGGTTAATAGAGCATAACCTAGTTGTCCAAACATAATGTGACATAATTTTTTTATAAACATTAGCTTTAATAAACTCTTCACTTGTTACTTCTCTCTATATGCATTGTCTTTTTGAATTGCAGAGTTGTTCATGAACTTTATGATAAAAATTTGGGAGGCAGAATTCTTGGGTTTTGTGTATGTAACATTTTCAGCAGCATATGGTCATGTATGTGATAGACCTTATTATGAGATTTATAATGAGATTTATAATGAGACATGCCAGTTATTCTCACCTAAAGGGTATCTTGGTAGATTGTTTTTTAAACTTGAAATATTAAGTAGGTTAAAAGTTAAAGTCATGTAGAATCTTTACTATTAAACTTTTTGTATAATATCAGAATCGAAGACTCCAACCCCCTTCCCAGTTTTATAGCTTGTTTCTATCCTTCCTGACTTGTTTAAATGAAAGTATCTATGCTTTGCATATATTTCCCATTTTTGCTTCTTTACAAAACAACAAAAACAAAACTATACACATTGGTGACTAACTTGACTTTTTTCACATGTCATGGGCCATCTTGCAGGTCACTCCCTCATTCAATTTAATGGCTGCACAATCCACTCTTCTGGATGTACCATATTTCTACAGCCAGTCCTCTGTTGGTGGACATATGGTTGTATCCAGTTTTTTGCTAGCACTTTAATAGGTTAGAGGCGGTAATGAATGGTAAGGAAGTAGTAGAAGTACTACTACAATTAAAAAGTAGAGAAGAAACTTCCTTTGCCATATTTACTTACTAAATGAAATTTAATAAAAACACTGTCAAAAGTTGAGAGGACCAAAATTGATACTTTTTTTTCTGATCTTTTTGCCATGTGTATATCTGAATTCTTTGTTTTTAAAGAAGAAACAGCATTGAAGCATTATTTGGGGGGAAAAACACACACACAAAATCCAGCAACTCAGCATTCATGAGCAGCCCTAGACTATGCCAGTATGTGCCTGTGCAGTGGAAGGAAAGCAAGTTTGGTAAGGAATTAAAACTTTAGCTTTAAACTTCCAACAGGTTGATATTTATAATGAATGATGAATCAAAAGTTTTAAATATTATGTTGACAGTGCCTTTTTTAGTTTTAAAAAAGAAGTCACCATATCTTTGGTATTTTTTACTTCAATATAAACTTTTCCCCTTTTCCTTTACCAAAAAAAAATCTGAATTTGCAGCCAACAAAAATTAGATATATATTAAGGTATGTATTCTTTTATTAAAATAACAACATTTATAAGAGATGTTTGCAGGTCGATTTTTATCCTTTTCGAGAGGCCATGTTCACTAATTGCTGAGTTTTATTTGTATTATAGAAACAATCCTTTTGTGTGTGTTGCATCCATCTAGATGCTTTGAGATTGTCATGTATTGTTTTCTAATTATCATTGGTAGTTTTTTGTTGTTGTTAAACCTAAACCTGTGACATTGGTTAACACTTAATGTTTTTTCTGGTTTTTGCATTATCTAGGAAATATATCCTGGACAATTCCAACCATCTCTTTGTCACAAATTCATAGCCTTGTCCGATAAGGAAGGAAAACTACTTCGCAACTATACTCAGAACATAGATACACTGGAGCAGGTTGCAGGAATCCAAAGGATAATTCAGTGTCATGGTTAGTAAACTTCAGAATTGCTTTTCCCGTTATATTAGTTTTGTAGGGAAAATTAGGATTAGTAAGTAGGCTGTCATTTAGGAATGGAGATTAAGCCTTATCATTTAATCATGTTACCTGATCAGGTGCAGATAAGGAAAGTAGACTGCAAAAATACGAAACCTGAAATACTGGCCTCAACTCTTAATTGTATCAAATGTCAAATATTAATTTGGATTTCAAAAGATGTAGCAGTTGTGTACATTCAAGTTTCAAATAGTGTGCTTAGTCATGTGCGACCCTTTGCAACTCTGGATTGTAGCCCACCAGGCTCCTCTCTGTCCATGGGATTTTTCAGGCAAGAATACTGGAGTGGGTTGTCATCTCCTTCTCTAGAGGATCTTCCTAACCTAGAGATCGAACCCACATTTCCTGCATTGCAGGTGGATTCTTTACCCACTGAGCCATCAGGGAAGCCTATTACATTCTTTTAAATAACCTTTTTTTATTACAAAAGTGATATTATGGATGAAAAAAACATGGCGTCTTGAGGAAATCAAGGGAACTGTTGATTTGGTCAGATGTACAGAATTCAGAAATTTGAAGACTTTAAAACAAGTTTGAATAGACTTTTATTGTATCTAAACTGTTCCTGAAACAAAACTGTTAAGCTAATACAATGGTAACCTTCCAAATCTGCAGTTTTAGTCCTGGAGGAGTTGGTTATTTTATTAAAAGAGTAGCTTTAGGGGAAGGGTCATTATATAAACATCTCTTTTGTGGAACCTCTTAAAATTTCTAAAGTCTCCAGCTTTTCTAGTATCAGATTTAATTATAACTTATTTAAGAAATGGAAAAATTTCTTTCATAAAACATGTATTTGTTGGTTGTTTTTAGGTTCCTTTGCAACAGCATCTTGCCTGATTTGTAAATATAAAGTTGACTGTGAAGCTGTACGAGGAGATATTTTCAATCAGGTAATTTATCACCCATATCTTAGGATTTGTGCTTGTCTCTGATCTGTTTCTTTCGCCTCAATCCTTTTTTTCCCCCTTGAAAGTATTTATGTGGTACAGAAACATCCATGACTATGGGGGATTACAGAGAAGTACCTAAAAACCTTTCATTACCTTAAGTTGAAAACATCACTTCATAATCTTTTTAAAAAAATACTTATTTGACTGCGGCAGGTCTTAGTTGTGGATCTTTGTCCAGGATATTTATTGCAGCATGTGGGATTTTCCCTGGACAGAGGTGGAACCTGGGCCCCTGCGGTGGGAGGGCAGAGTCTTAGCCACTGGACCATCAAAGTCGTCCCCATAATCTGTTTTGAATGATGAAATTGACTTCCTAAACATTACAAAATATTTCATGTATGCTCATTACCAAAAAAATTTTAAGAAGATAATAGCAGAGAATAAAAACCATCCAGAAATAACTCAGTGTGCTTAGCTGTATTATAAAATCATAAAATTATGAGAAGATGACATATTAGAAGGGAATTGTATTTTACAAACTCACTACTTTTTAAAATTTTACTTTGGCTGCGCGCAGACCTTGTCTAGTTGCAGTGAGCAGGGCTCCTGCTTGTGAAGTGCGGGCTCCTCACTGGTGACGACTCTTCCTGCATGGCCGCGTGTGCCTCGGTGCCCCGCGGCCTGTGATCTTCCTGGACCAGGAATCAAACTCATGTCCTCTGCGCTGACAGGTGGATTCCTAACCACCTGACCACCAGGAAGTCCCAAACTTTTATTTTATTTTATTTTATTTTTTTCCCATTTATTTTTATTAGTTGGAGGCTAATTACTTTACATCATTGCAGTGGTTTTTGTCATACATTGAAATGAATTAGCCATGGATTTACATGTATTCCCCATCCCGGTCCCCCCTCCCACC